CCGTTAATAATTATCACAGCCCCACAAAAAAAATGGAACATCCGAAAGACAAGACCCTGGTATCTATATGTTTTTGGGGTCACTGAATCCGAATCCGATGTCCGATTGACTCGATTAGCTCTGGTTGAAGGTCACTTGAAGATCAAATGTAGAGAATCAATTGCCAACAAAGTAACCATACATACGAGTATCTATACGTTTTTGGGGATCGGTAAATCTGAATCCGATGTCCGTTTGATCCGATCAGGTCTGCGTTAAGGTTAGTTCAAGGTCAGATAGAGAATCAATTGCCCACAAAGTAAACCTACATATCTTTACGTTTTTGGGGTCGGTGAATCCAAACCGGGAGACTGTTTGATCCGATCAGGTCTGTGTTAAGGTCAATTCAAGATCAAATGTAGAGAATCAATTGCCAACAAAGTAATCCAATGTATCTATACGATTTTGGGGTCGCTTAATCCGAATCCGGGGTCCGTTTGACCTGATCAGATCGGCTAAGTTCTAAACTCAAAACACTCAAGTAGGTGTTCATTTATGCGTATTAAAATTTGATTATCAAATAATATTAAAGAAAGAAAGCTCTAACTCTGAGCCCGTGACTTTCGAGTATTGTTTTTACATTATAAAATTCTAGTATCAGTAAGCCTAATTAAGTAAGCTTTAAACCAATTTGTCCGTTAATGCTTCAATGCTTCATGTACATTAATTTACACAGTCGGTCCTTGTTTCTTGAGATTCTTGAGAAAAATTTTTCAAGATAAGAGATTTTTTGCTTTGATAAATCACATGAAATCACTACTATGATATCGACAGTACTACTCACTTTTATGGTATCGAACTATTTTGTTGTCAAAAGGTCTGAGAAGTGTACTCAAAGAAGTACTCAAATTTTAATACGTTGAAATGCTTGAGCGTTTTGAGTTTGGAACTTGAGGGTATTTAGCAGACCTGATCAGGTCAAACGGAGCACGGATTCGGATTCAGTGATCTCAAAAACATATACATACCAGGGTCTTGTCTTTCGGATATTCCACTTTTTTGTGGGGCTGTGATTATCGAACTATCTTGCATTAAACGTAGGTGTAACACGACTAATTTATCATCGTCATTATTGATGGCGTTAGACGAGTGGCGGACTTTTTTGACACATCAAAGCGATTTGCGCGTTATTTATCACACTGAGGTGGCTACACTAGTATTGTCTATTGCAACGCATTAGAGCTTCGAGCATGATTTAATACGGTTGCATAAATATGAAGTGGTCTAAGAAAAAATTTTAGAAGTGTTTCAGACGGATCCTAGACAAAAGCATAAAAAATAATGGACGTTCATAACGAGCGTTCAAATAAAAACGTGGTCAAGTTGGTTCTGAAAAGTTTTTAGAAGTGTTTCAAACGGATCCTAGACAAAAGCATAAAAAATAATGGACGTTCATAACGAGCGTTCAAATAAAAACGTGGTCAAGTTGGTTCTGAAAATTTGGACGTAGGGCGTAGCGTATAGCAAATGAACTTAAACGTCATCTGTCAAAGCGCTATATCGCCGCTATCAATTTGAATATTTTCGTTTTAAAAANAAACTTAAAAAGTGAGGTTAAAAAACATACGATTTCGGATAAAAGTTAAAATTATTTGTACTTTTTCCGACGTCGTATGAATTTTAAAAATTTCGGATGAAAATGAGCGGTAAAAATTTGAATGTATATTAACCAATAGGAACACTTTCGGACCTTCGTATCGTCGGAATTCGGATGCATGGGACACCGGCCTTAGCCGCTAATTTATCATCGTCATTATTGATGGCGTTAGACGAGTGGCGGTCTTTTTTGACACATCAAAGCGATTTGCGCGTTATTTATCGCACTGATGTGGCTACACTAGTATTGTCTATTGCAACGCATTAGAGCTTCGAGCATGATTTAGTACGGTTAATCCCTTCAATTTTTTTCGTAGGATGTATCGTTTTGAGGAAAAAAATAAAACAATATTTTATTGCAAGTTGTGTATTTTTAATTTCTATTGATACATTATCTAGTAGGTTGTTGACCATATTTCTAAATAAAATGCAACCATCAAATTTTGAGTCAATATCTTTAAAACTATTTGAAATAATTAATAAAAATAGATACAAAATTTAAGTTTATACACTGTATCTCGAAAACGAAGGATATTTCGACCTCCGTTTATATGAATTTTTTCACAAAATAACTTCGGCAACCACTCCATAAAATTTTTCGCATTTATTTACAAACAGCGTGTGATGAGAACGAAATGGCAGGAATCGACATTGACTCCAGCGACCATGAGTTTGAGGGTGATGAATCAGAAAATGAAATAGATAATAGATTCTTTCACACATAACGTTTATTGTAAATTAATATTCGAAAAAAGTTGTATATTTTTATATAATTACTAGTAATACTTGAAAAAAATGAAAAAATAATACATATCTCATACCGCACAAGTAGAAATTTGATAATACAATAGCTAACTTAGTAAGTTAAATGAAAAAAATGCTCAGCTTTATATTTAGTGAAGGAAAAGTGCTCATCTTATAAAGTCAAAGATGTACGCGCTTGCGCGCATAACAATGTGCTGCACTTTCAACTCGTCAGCTGAGCACTTATACACCGCAAAAACTTCAGTGGACAATTTTTTTTCGTATAACTGATTAAGATGACTATTACTTTACCAAATTTCAGCGTTTGCGGTATCAGTTTACCTAGCGCATATTTTTGACTTATTTAGATGAAAAGCTGAGGCATAACCCGCCACTCTAAAGTCAGCTGATTGCGTTTTTTCGTTTGTTTATAACATAATCAACATGTCGACAAAGTCTCAGCTTTTGCAGTATTAGTTTTTTCTGATGACTTTTTTTCGTGTTTGGGAGGCTGCCGAAACTATACCCCCCGGAAGTGCGTGAGCTGGAGGTCAATTCTCTTACTAGTGACATCAAATGAAGCGTAGGAAAACTTTTCAGCTTTTGCTCTTTTGGTCATCAAAAAAGGTCGCTGGCTCCCGGGCTACTATTGCTGCGCATCCCGTCTATTTTCCACTTCAGTCACCTACCACCAGTATGCCTTTAAGCAGATAAATTTGGTTAAATCGTATTATTTTGAACCCAACACTATATGTATTTTTGCTCCAAATACACCCTGTATGTATAGGTGATTTGAAATCCCATGAGAAATAATTAAAGTGATAATTCGAGCGCGATATATTTTAATCTTTTATTTATCTTTGAATGTATTTTAAGCAGAGATTGACGTATTTCGTAACGAAGAACATTTGTCTAACGTAAAAACAATGTATCTGGCCGAAAAATATTGCTGCCTGTTATACTTCAAACTAATTTAAAACGGCTATAATTACCGTTGTGTGCAATAAAATTTTATGATGTTTATGTCTGCAGTGTTAATGTTTATATATTTAACTTAATAAAGACGATATAACAAGGTTGTTAAGGCAACTCGTAAATCGAACAAAACTGAAAGTAAAATAACAAGGACTCGTCGACATCCCAACTGATATCTTCACTAGTCCAATAACCGTATTAATCATAACAAACGTAGATTAGTATGAAAAAGAACCGAAGGGGAGTTTCATTTTATTTTATTTAATCTGTGCCTATGGAAATCTATTTGTAAAGAAGGAAAGAGCCAGTATTCAATGTGTCAGGCAGAGTTAAAAACATAAATACAATTTACCATCTAGACAAAAAAACTTGAATGCGAAAGGAGGCGTAAAAATAAATTATAGACATCTTTAAGTTTACAACAAAAAATATTTGTCTTGTTGATAGAAATCGGAAATATTAGGGCGGTTGCAATGTGGTATAAGGTTGTCCGGGTTCTCGGTTATGTAATTTTATTCATACAAAAAGTGACACAATCGTTGGCTTTCATAACAGTTTGAACCAAAAAGGGCAATGTCTATTTTTCTACACTAAATGCTTCACATGGAATATATATGTAAGTAGAGTACGGAGCTAATAGTAAGTACCAACAAAAGTTAACAAAATAATAATTTTTTACTCATAATGAAAGCGATTGTAGAAAATAATTAAAAATTGTCGTAAATCTTCCGTGATCGGTAAATAACCATTTCAAAAACGAAACTGGCAGTTCAACACTTACCGAGGTCGCAGGTGCACATCTAAAATAGTCGAAGTTTTTACTAATGGTGCCTCTGATCTGAAGTTTCGCATCGATCAATTTATTCCAAACGTACTCTAATGCCTGCCCTGTCAGCCTGACGTGTCGATGAACGATTAAGGTTTTTTACATTATTAAGTAAAATTGAGTGAAATTTGAGTGAAAATTTTTTACAGTGTAGCATGATATACATAGATAACTTCTGTTTATTTATTTGATTGTCCCCATAAAATTTCCGATGCCTACTCATGGGCAACTAAACTTAACAAACATGAAAAACTGTTGCTAAAAACATGTTCCACAACGCTTTGTTTTAAATATACCAGATTGATAAAAATTAATGATGTGATTATTTGAATAGTATGTACTTACTTTTATTTAGAAAATAATTTGATATTTTGCCACTTTTTGCAGTAATTACGTAGATATAGTCTAACATTTTGTCATTTATCTCGAAATCTATGTATTATAATAATTTGTTACAAAAATACATATTTGAAAAAAATATTTGAAATGTATCACAATAATGAAATTTGAAATAGCTTAGAAAAAAAAATTATTGCACATGACAAGAACTCCTCCTCTAGAAGTATGCCCTTGTTTGTAACAAATCAATGTCATGAGAATTTAAATGAAGTCACTTCAATTAAATTTTTATATTTAAAAATATTATATTCGCAATATTACCTACACCACAATGTGGTAAAAGGGTATTTTCGGATATAAAAGACGTATCACAAAAAGCAAATTAACTAATTTTTATTGCTATCTTTATTATTTACAAAAATGATCTAATGACATGGAGTCTAAATAGAAAATATTGATTAATAAACCAAACCGTAATAAATTTATTCTATATGTTTTTTCCTTTTATTCCTTTTTCTTTTACTACTCGCCTTAAAATCATTACACTCCTGTCGATTTTCCTTCAAATCTTTGTCATTTTCTAGATGATTATTAGTTGCTATTACACTGTCATTAGTCTTCTTTTCGTATTCTTTCACCTTTCTATAAGATCTTCTACTTAGTTTTGATTCGTTGTTAGTACTCAAAACATCTCCTTGTATACTAGTAATTGAGCTTCGCAGCATTTTCAATTCTGACATGGCCCTCTGGGCTATTTTCCCTTCAGGACTTTTTGGAGGCTCATATAACAAATGCTTTATAGCTTCCTTCAAAGTGCCTTCAGCTGACGAAAGTTTGACAACGAGTTCCTCTGAGGTTATTTCTTTGTCTCGGTACTGTTTGTGGGCCAAATCTGCCAAGGCAGATTGCAATTCGTACAAAGTGAGAGCTGAAATATTTATTAAATTATGTAAAGTGAATTCTGTAGCAACAATGAAATTCAATTTAATCAATGTCAAGCGTTTTGCTGTGAGTATTATCTACGTTCTGATCAAAGTGACTGAAAAATACTTAAAACGTGAATTAATTCCTCTCACAATTTTGCAGAACTCTGAATTCATAAATACGATTGCTGAGTGCTATTTAATAAAGTGTATTCACCGATTTAGGAGAAAGACTACCTGCGCCGACCTGATTTTAGTTACCGCTCATCATAATATTCAGTTTTGAAGAGATTATGCAGGGTGATTCATTAACAATGGGAAAGTCGAAAGTTGAAGATACTACACGTGAAATGGTGACCATTGGCGCAAACATGCTTTATCCGAAAGTTGATAGTTTCGGAAATACACGGTGTTGAAAGTTACAATTTTAAATAGTTTTTTTGCGATTATTCTGAAAATATGTAGGTTACGAACATGGAAATTTGTGAAACTATATTTTTTTAGGCGACGAATAAGATGCGTGTTGTAATTTTAGCATTGCTAATAGAGGGCGCCACTTACGACCAATTTTACCGAAAATTTAGTTAATAACTTTTTACCCTGTATATTTAACATGAAACTTGATTCAAAACCTGAAAGAGCTATCATTTTTCCATTAATTAAAAATCGATTTAACGAACACTATGTTTTGATAATATGAGAAATTAAAAGCGAAACAAACCAAGTGTTTCTTCGTGTTATTACAACAATTAACAATAAAACAAATAAAATACGTAATTATGATTTAAAGTAATTGTTCGAAGAATCCACCGTTGACACTGATACACTTTACACGTTTTCTGAGAGATCTTCGAGTTTGAAACAACATATTGGGATTGCGTCTGACTTCGTTGGCAGCGATTTGTATTCTTTGCCACAACTCTTCACACGAGCCAATAGATTCTTTGTAAACTATATCTTTCATTCGAGACCAAATAGAAAAATCAAGAGGATTGAAGTCCGGACTTCTGGATGGCCAAGCAAAAATGCTTACATGGCCAATCCAGCGATTTGGAAAAACTGCATCTAAATATGCACGCACTGGCCAAGAAAAATGCGGTGGAGCTCCGTCGTGCATGAACCACATGTCTCTTCTTAAATAAAGTGGAACTTCTTCAAGCCGTGGAAGCATTTTTACTTGGCCACCCAGAAGTCCGGACTTCAATCCTCTTCATTTTTCTATTTGGAAGAATCTATTGGTTCGTGTGAAGAGTTGTGGCAAAGAATACAAATCGCTGCCAACGAAGTCAGACGCAATCCCAATATGTTGTTTCAAACTCGAAGATCTCTCAGAAAACGTGTAAAGTGTATCAGTGTCAACGGTGGATTCTTCGAACAATTACTTTAAATCATAATTACGTATTTTATTTGTTTTATTGTTAATTGTTGTAATAACACGAAGAAACACTTGGTTTGTTTCGCTTTTAATTTCTCATATTATCAAAACATAGTGTTCGTTAAATCGATTTTTCTCGAAAACGGATCGAGATACCGAAATGAAACAAGAGTACATAATTAATGGAAAAATGATAGCTCTTTCAGGTTTTGAATCAAGTTTCATGTTAGACATACAGGGTAAAAAGTTATTAACTAAATTTTCGATAAAATTGGTCGTAAGTGGCGCCCTCTATGAGCAATTCTGAATTTAAAACACGCATCTTATTCGTCGCCTAAAAAAATATAGTTTCACAAATTTTCAAGTTCCTAACCTACATATTTTCAGAATAATCGCAAAAAACGATTTAAAATTTTAACTTTCAACACCCTGTATTTCCAAAACTATCAACTTTCGGATAAGGCATATTTGCGCCAATGGTCACCATTTCACGTGTAGTATCTTCAGCTTTCGACTTTCCCAATGTTAATGAATCACCCTGTATAGTATTGTATAAGGTCTATGGTCTAAGGAAATCTAGATGCATATCTGAGTTTGTCTTTATTTATATTCCTTGTAAGTATTCCCTTATAAGTACACAACAGTGAGTGTTATTGAAAAATTATATAAAAATTGAACACGAGAATAAGGAAAAATTAGAGAGTGGAAAGAAGAAAATAACTGTACAAAATTTAGAAATAAAGATAAATGCAACTAAACAGTTTACGAGAAATACTTAAAAATAGTAAAAAATATCTATTTAGAGGTGAACTCGAGTAATAGTTAGTATTAGGTGTTCACAACATAACACATTTTTATTTTTTATTACATTAGAAGGATCTACGTTAAATTATTAAGTTCAGTTTCAATTAAATTATTCTCGGGAGATGTTTAATTTTTGTTTAATTATAAAACTATCTAATCTAATAAGAGACAGGAGAGAGCTTATGATTTACACATTTTATAAATTATACAGGGTGTCCCGGTACTTGATACAAAAAATTCGAGTACAGATAGATGAGGTCAAAATAATATCAGTTCTTCATATAAATGTTTTCCATACGGGCCTTCGTTAATAAGTTAAGTTATTTTTATTTACAGTCTCTAAACTATAATGCCAACATGATGCAAATTTAGTGATCGATAACACATGCATACAGCTTGTTTTTGATGTATTAAGTGAAACTTCATTATGCCCAGAACGCCAGGGACGGACTATGCCCAATGGTTAACAACCCAGATAACAATCGCAATCTGCCTGTATCAAAAATAAGTTCCCTGAAGAATTTGCCAACGATAATACCCTCTTGGTTCAACTCGGTAAAATTAACAGTTTAGAAAATATCTGTGACACTCCAACTTCAGTAAGTTAATAAGTTCAGTAAGTTAATATAATTTGATGATCTATTTCATCAAATGTTTTAATAAAATTAGTGTAAATTACATATTCCTGTAATTTACGGTTCATATTAGAAAGGGTATATTATTCATAGATAAACATGTCTACCGATCTTTTTAGTAAAGCCTCGTTGTTCTATATTGAGCAAATTTAAAATTTATCAGAAATACACAGTTTTGATACTGGACCATAGTTTTTAATAAAATGTACTTATTTTGGTTTAAAAACGGAAATAATGTGTTATTTTCCATGTATTAGAAAGGGGTCCAAAAGGGATTTATTAAAAATTAATAATACTAGGAGTAATCTCTTTCTGCGAACCAATTTACAAGTAAAATATTTGGGATGGGATAATAAATAGACTGGAAAACCAGCCATTTGAACAGTTTGCGTGAATCGAACATATACTATCAACATATTATTAAAAATTATGGCGATTGTGGACTGATGAATGGAGTGAAGAATAGCCGGTACTACAGCTACAGTACGGAAAAAAAATCAATCTATTTTTATATGCTAAATAATTTTTTTAAAAATGTATAAGCAGCTATCACTGAATATAAAAAGTTCGGTAAAATGGAAAATGTCGAAAAAGACGTCAATTAACAAAAATTCCAATGAAAAATTGCATGGAAAATTGTGAATAGCCCCATTACCGAAAAGTAAACTAAGAAACATTGTCTACAAGTATCTGGAAAATCATGTTTTACATGTTAAAACTGCTGAACATTGGTACATTAATATTTCGAATCGTATAGAGAAATTTATATTAACACAGGTAATGACACCGATAATGAATTAATAAACTTTTGTATTGATTATACACACCTCTATAGTAAATCGAGTTTTTTTAATTACGTCTAATATAGCATTTCCACTGTCAGTTCGTAACGTCCTTCAATGTCCATCAAGATCTAGTTAAATAGAAATATATTCAGTATGCACCTGCTTAGATTCACTGCTTGATTTATGACCTGGTGGTAAATCGACGCAGGTAATCATTCTCGTAAATATTAATGCCATACTATGTATCTGGTTGCCGCTAGTTACCTACATACTTTACTGCACTCCCTTGGTATTAGCTAGAAATCTTTGACCTGCCCTTGTTGCTCAAGGGCCAGGTTTTGTAGGGGCTCATTTCGGTTCTTGCTATTGAATCGAAGGCCGCTATGATGGAACAGCTCATCAAACAACGATAGTCCTCTGAGACGTTCCTTAGTAGCCTCTGCAACTGGTCCCATCTGATGCTACCATGGGAAGGTTCCTAGCTACGGCTAAGGAAGTACAATGTAAGAGTGCAACTGGATGCGACCAGATACATAGGCCGCAACAAAGCTCAAAAACCCTTCCTACTTTAACTATATGTTTACCTTTCATTCTAGACAAACCAGGTTCAATTTTGGAAAATACTTCTAGTAGCTCTTGACACAAGGTTATTTTTCTCAACAGATTCTTTTTACTTGATGGTAGCCTTAGGTACAAGCCAGCAATATTTTGTTTCAACTCCAACAGTAAGTAATGATTTGAATGGAAAGTTGTTGATAACTTGGTCAGTAAATTTTCCATTTCGTTTAAGTTTGATGGATCTAGAAAAAAATCAAATAACTTCTACAATTTTTTAAAAGAAAATTAAAAGGTATTTAGTGGTTGCTACTATTCTAAAAGATTATTTTTTACTAAATTGTACGTATTACTCAAAGTTAGTCACTTCGATTGCAATTTTCTGAACTCCACAAAGCTTTGTTTTATTTTGTTTATAAACGGCGAATGGGTAAACGATTGAGTGACATTTTTTTAAAATTTACTGCTAACTATATTGTCACAAATTTCTAAAACCACAAAAAATAAACTTACCAATATCCTGAATCCTCCTTCGTCCTTCTTCGACAGTTAAATTCATAAGACCACTGCAAAATGTTCTCTTGCATTCATTGCATTCCCAGTCTGATCCAATTTGTTCTGGATTTATTAATCTAATCAGTCCCTTGCGACATCTATAACACTTTAAAGCACTTATATCAGTCCCTAACTCATTCACATCCTTACACCGTGTACAAATACATTCGAAGTATTTGCCTTCTCTTAAATGCTGTCTTCTGGCCGTGGTCCCCTGAAATTTACAGAATACCACCGATTTATAAATATACAAATAATTTATTGACTGTGTTAAATAGTTCGCAAAACTAATGTAATTAATTTTCTCTTGTTTCTTTATTTTCTTCAGTTGCAACTAATTTTCTTTGTAATATTAAGTTCAATACTTATCTTTGATTGAACTTTCCCATCTTTCCCTTTTTTTAATTTCACATCATAAATCTCATGAATTAAATCATCTCTTGTATATAACTACATACTATTTTTTCTCAACATTAACTCTACATCTTGTATGGTTTCTTTGAAATTATTATTTTTATTAGCAAATTATAGTAGATATTTTACTGTTTACTGAATATAATAATAATAATATGGTCTTTATTGCATATCAAAAAAGTGAGTATAACAAATACGAGTAAGTATATCAAAAAGATAGCCATATCCAACAGAATTGTTCAGTACAACCACCCTAATACAAATATAATTCCAAAAGAAAAAACAATATATTATATATATATATATATATAGAATTGTTCAGTACAACCACCCTAATACAAATATAATTCCAAAAGAAAAAACAATATATTATATATATATATATATATATAAATCAGAAGTAATAGGCAAGGCAAGCATTTTCGATTTTTTGTAAAGAATATTTCTAACAATGCAAGCCAATACACGATATCACAATATATTACTCGAGAGAGAATTATTAAGTCACACATTCATAACTTAAAATCAATATATAAAATATCCTTATTTATGTTATATATGGTTCTTGTCAAAATAAATAATGGTAGAGGTCTTTTAATATCTCATGAGCCGTGAAATGCGCGAAAGGCGTGGCGTATCCCCATAATTCTTCTAATAAGCACGTTGTGAAAACATTGACTCGGAACTAGACCATGTGCATCATTACAAGTAGACATGAACTAAGGCGCTCGGGCATCAATAAAGTCAACTGGCAAACGTTCCTTATATATATATCTTTATTGTTTAAATTAAAATAATAACGAATAGGGCATTTTATTATGATATTTGTAATCGGATCAAAGGCTTGTTTACGCTAGAGCTCGAGAGAGACTGTAAATAATAGGTGTAATGTTTTTAGGACGTAGAATAATTTAGGCGATGGTCAGAATTATGTTTCTGCGCATATGAAGGTCAAAGCTCATAAGATTTTAAAACATCTCTAATATTTTTCCTCAATCCTGAGAAGGGATCTACGATCCATGTTGATGAAATGTCAAACCAAATTTTAGAAACAAGCACAAGATGGTGTTGTCCAGTTCTGTCATAGTGGTTACTACTACTCTATTTCAATTTGTGACTCAAAAATCAAGGCAATATTAGAATAGAAGAAATATCTAGATAAAATCCAATTTTCAATCAACGTAAATTCGAAGAGTTTATCCATGAAAGGTAAAATTGATTACTTATCGTTTTATTAAATGCGAATTTATGTAAAACTTTATGAATTATATTAATTTTCAAGCATGATTGCATTGAGAACATTTTCAAAGAACTACATTGTACCAACTTTGTAAATCTGGAAATACTGTGATGATCGTTGACCCGTAGCAATTGTATTAGAAGAAATACCGCGCTTTCTTTGTTTATTTTAACGCTATTGCGCTCCGAATTTCTAGAAAAGTGCTCAAATAGACTTAAAACAGTGAGGATAAGAATGGTTTACCTGTAATACATTGGTATAATTAAAGAATATGGGTGAATCCTCTGGTATGTCCACACTAGCATGGATTGTCAACACGAAATCATCATCTACTGACAAGTGAGTATTTCCCACACAATCATGTGCCATTAGAGCTGCCTCCAGGTATAATCCTAAAATATAAAATGTTCCATATTTCCTTTATTCACAGATAACTAATCATTTGAATTCCAGAAAAAACTAGGAATTTGCGGCTACAATATTAAATACAAATTTACAAATGTCAGTTCCTGTTATTTTCGGTTCTATTTATATTCAGCTTTATTTGTAGACAAACATCTGTTGGCAGTTTTATATTTAATTAAATCACAGTAAAATATTATCACCTTCAACTACAATTTTTAAATAAATCTGAGAATAGGAACTTAATATTATTCTTAAATTCCAACAACAATATAGATATTTGATAATGTATATATGTATATTTTCTTTATTTTTGAATGGAGAACAGAAAATTAATAGATTTATACGTTTATATAACTTCACCTAAAAATGTTAATAATTACGCTAGAACAAAAGATACAAGGTCGCTGATATGTATGGAAACGGTCGATTATCTCCTAAAGTAAGACAGTTATCGAAAAATCATAAGATACAAACGTTTTAGTTTTTTTTTAAATCTATTGCAATAAAGAAAAATTAAGTATACAGGATCAGTCAAAGATCATGACGAAACAAAATTGGTCCTTCTTTAATAGAACACCCTGTATATTATTCCATATTTCAATTCTTCTCGAAATTCTAAACATGTACTTAAATTAATTAGTGATCGTGAAGCCATATCTAATTAATTATTTAAACTTTTTCAATAATTTTCTATATATCTAGTTATCTACAATAACTTTTGGATAGATATTCCATTGTTTTCTGAAAATGACATATTGTACATATTAAATGATTTAAATCTAAACTTAGTAATGGTCCAGATGTTATTCTGGCATTTCTTATGGACTATAGGTACAATATCATTTATGACTTTTCTTAAAATATTGTTTTCTGAAAAATAAAATATTTCCTTTTAGATTGAAAATTTACGAAATAATACCTATTTTCAGAAAAGGTGATAAATCAGATATGAATAATTATCGTACCATTGTAACAGTCAATAATGCTTTGAAATGTTAATTTTTTATTTTAACCATTAAGCATATGATAAGCGAATACAAACATGTTTGTTTTGTCTTTCAAGGGAAAATTTACTACTACTACAAATACGTTTTGTGTAACCAAATTTGTCTTCCTCTGTATAGACAATGACTCTCAAACTAATATAACGAATTTTTATTAAGATTTCGATAGGGTCGACCATAAAATATTAAAATTAAATCATCTGATTGACCCAATTAATTGAATTCAATTTGTTATATGTATATCGTATTTATCCTGCTAAAAAGCTTGCTCGTGGGTGCTACAAACATCAGTTTTAGGACCATGATTATTTTTTATAAATGGTGTACTTAGTTATTTAAATGTAGATTAATTATTATACGGTGATAAACAGTATACTTTTCTGCAGAACATATAATATTAATAATTATTTGTTACTACAGGAAAACGTATATAACATTATTTTGTAATTGGTGTAGGATGAACAATTTGTTTTTAAATCTTTTAAAGTGTTGTGTCCTTTAAGTACCTCGAAAAAGTAGTCAAGTCATAGTAGTAGTAAATATTACTGTCAAAGCATATAAGACCCTTGGATTTGTTATTAGAAATGCTTCTTCTTTCAATTCAGATTCACTTAAGAGTTGTATTAAAATTACTTTACATCACACTAGTAAAATCAAAATTAGAATATGCCCTGCAATTTGGCGTCCTGTAATTACGTGACATATACAGTGTGTCCCGCTTTTCAGGTAACACCTCTGGAAATGTGAGAAGGCTGTGGACTTTCCAATTTTTTTACAAATGGTACCCTGAAGGGAGGTTATATTTTACTAATCATTTTATTGATGTGACAAAAGCCTGGTATACTACAATTTTTTAAAAGGGTCGTTTTTCCAGAAAGTAGTATTGGGCATTTTTTTATCAAAAAGATAATATTACCAGGCTATTCAACATCCATTAAAATATCTATATACCAAATTCGAACGACAAATGTCTATTGAATGTTTTTTTATGTGGCGCCAAACTTCGAAAAATCAGACAACTAAAAATTATAATAAGCAGGTCAAAGATTGCCATGAAAGTGAAAACAAATACCTATCGGACAAAGAAAAAAATACAGGCACTATAAATTTAATACTTTTAATTATATTAATTGATTGTTATTAATTAATTATAAAAATAATAACTTACAAAAAATGTAACGAATTATAAAGACTATCAAGTTGGTAAACAAAAAAATTGCAAAACGTTAATCTAAATTAAGTTTTAGTTTTCTCCTCCAAACCTCCTTCCAGTGGAAAAATAATTTACATAGCCATTGTAGAATAATCTCTCCACAAGCCTGTTTTATGCAATTCATTAGATCATCCAAATTCCTTGGTCTGTTTTTATAATCTTTTTGTTTTAGTAAAACAGTAAAAGTCCATAGTTCGAGAAAACTAAAATTTAATTTACAATTAGATTGTTTTGTAATTTTTGTTTCACAACTTAATATTTATAATTCATTATATACATTTTTTGTACGCTAATTATTATTATTATTTTTACTATGACCGCAATTAAAAGTGTTGTGTATTTTTTCTTTGTCCGATTGGTATTTGTTTTCACTTTCATAGCAATCTTTGACCTGCTTATTATAATTTTTAGTTATCTGATTTTTCGATGTTAGACAACACATAAAAAACACTCAATAGACATTTGTCGTTCAAATTTGGTATATGGGTATTTTGATAGGTGTTGAATAGCCTGGTAATATTATTTGTTTGATAAAAAAATGCCTAGATAATACCACTTTCTGGAAAAACGACCCTCTAAAAAAATCGACCCTTTTAGGGTACTATTTGTAAAAAATTGGCTTGCGGAAAGTCCACAGCCTTCTCACATGTCCAGAGGTGTTAACCTAAAAAACGGAACACACTATTATATTGACAGACAGGAATGGGTTCTTCGGCGTATTCTTAAATTTTTGGTTTTTAGAATGGATGGAACATATCCTAACATTTATTATCTATCTGATTTGATTCAAAAAGGCCTCTCTTAGGTCTCTAAAAGGCAGATGAAGCATTGCTTACTTGGTATTTTTATTTAGGTTGTTAAATAGCAAATTGACTGTAGTGATATATTAAGTAAGCTCAACTTTCATGTTTCTAGAGCGGTCTTTCTTATTTGCCAACATCAAAAACTAATGAAAAAATTTTTTTTCCAGTGTATTTTATGTGTAACATCTCTAATAATATTGTCTCAACAATCGATATATTTTATTGTTCACTTGCTAATTTGAGATAGGTGGGAGGTAACACTACAACCGTTTATTTAATTTTACCATGTTTATGTTCACTGTTACATTTTTTATTTTTGTTTGTAGATCCTATTTTTTATTTATTTCAGTACGTCTTAATATTGTTTCTATTGTTATATGTAATTATTTGTTTTCTTTATCCTTTTTGTATTTTTTATAGTATATTCCCATTTTGTAGTTAGGCTTTGGAAATTAACAAATCTTCCTGCTTATTACTGAAGGTAGTAGAAACAAAGGCATATAGAATATGAAAAATAATATAGCTATGGTTCTTTATACATCTCATTGGTATGTTATTTAGAATAATGTTAACATTTACCAAAACGTCATGATTACCTCGTAGACATTGAACTGCTGGATTTACTATCACTTCCTTTGAATTCGTTGGTGGTCGAACTTCAAATGTATTGACATCTGTGATACCACAAACCGTTTGCACCAATTCTTCCTTCGTTTCCTCTTCAGTTATAAAATTAGCCTCTCTAAAAGTAGTTAAATTAAAAGTTAGTGCCAAAATTATTTCTTAAGATACTTACCTAAGTCTCTGTTCGACAATCACTTTGTGTCTCCTCCAAATTTGGGTATCTCTCCGTTCTTCCAGATGGGGCTCCAGTTCCTTTATGGCATCCCATATCTTGACATTATATTTCTTCAAAAGGATGCAGCGTAAAGGAAATATGATTTGATCGTATTCTGCCAAGGTTTCACCGTTTATATTAGCCTCTTTCAAAGCTAAACACTCCTCAGCAGTGTGCAGGTTACCTAAACAACAAAAGAAGCAGCAATGAATATTTCTCTTTTAAGATATCAGTGATGTTATTTTTAAAGATTCAAGATGCATCACTGAGATAGATTTAGGAATATCTTAATAATAGGGGGCTACATATGTAAAGAAAATATACAGTATCCCAGGTACATATTTCAATGAAAGTGCATACGAGATTTGTTCAGAAAATAACCGAACTTATTGAATTATGCTTTAATGGAGATACTTAGTGACATGTACTTGGCAGTATTGCGTTGCTCATAACCTCCACTGTAACCACATGTTCTTGAATTGTTGATGTCGCATGTAGTTTTTGTGATATTGTTATTTGAGTGCAACGTGTTTAAGTGTTATGTTTCTTTATTTTCTTAGTTGTGATCTTTGTGCTCAACTTCTCATTTCATTCGATTTTTTTACGGCCATGAACCATCATGCTTTTACTAACCGTGAATATGCCGATACTCTCTTTGAGCCGCTAGACTATTTCCATTACAGAAACTATAAAATAAAATGAATATCGGTATATTCACGGTTAGTAAAAGCATGATGGTTAATGGTTGTAAAAAAATTGAATGAAATACAAAGTTGAGCACAAAGATCACAATTTAAATCATAGCACGCGAAAGTGACAATTATTAGTATCATTATAATGAAACTGTCACTATAAAAGACGCCTACTATGTGAAAAAGTTACTATTCTGAGCCATACATTATTTAAAAAATTATTATTTCTGACTAAACTATGCAGAATTCGAAAAAAAAAAGTAGGGACATATTTTCTTCAAAAAAGTCTAATTCATTAAAAAATAATATTATTTACTTGATAATTCAAAAGAATAAAAAAAATTCGAAAATTTTCTGTTAAGAGTAGGTAATTACAAAACTATCCTTGTTTATAACCGATTTTGATGAAACTTATGGTAGTTAAGGACCCTTATGGTATAATTATTACCTACAATTTTTATTCTGTTATCTTAATCGGAAAGAAAGTTATTTTAAAAAATATCCAAATCATAAGGCCCCTTTGGAGGGCCATATCTCAGTAACGGTGCTCCGGAGGACCAATGTTTATAGGAACTTTTTTTACTATTTTTGGCTCTACTTTCACCCCCTTTTGTACCAACTTTTCCAAACACCCTGTATATTTTTAATTTATAATGATAACGACATGTATATTTTTAGTTGAGTTGCTAAATATTTACAGGAAAATCAGTTAGGACATCATAAAATTATAGTATGCAGCACATGTGGCGTCCTCTAAAGGCTGCATTAATATATTGGATATATTTTTTTTAGTTCAAAAAATTGTTTGTCAATATTTTTAGATTAATATTTCCAAAACTAGTTTAGATCAAAAAATCAAAATAAAAATTCTACCTCTATATCGACTTTTGGACCAAACAAATTCAAGTTCGATTACATAGTATTATATTTTCAAGTCAGAATAATATCTTATTAATTACGAATCACTGTATATATTTTTGTTTTGTCTTGCCTAACTTCCAAAGTCTATAAAACACTCTGTATCTATCTGTGTTCTAAATCAATTAATATGCTCTATATCTCATTAAAATTTGTCAGTTTAAACCTGAGACATGCTGTAGACTAAAAAAAATTAACATACTTATACAACAGGACATTTTGGTACCTCCTATCCTACGTTAAATTTCTAAAAAGCAGAACATTACCTGTACATTTTGGACTGCAGAGAACAGCTTTATTACAATTTCTGCAAAATATATATCCCGTACTTCTGACGTTTTTACAGCAACCAAAACAGATCAAAGGTCCATTCAGCTGTGGTCCCATCAACGTCGGTTTTTCTTTTAAGATCAACTGTCCAGCTTTAATATCTCTACCAGCGGCCATATATCTAGATATAGTGAGATATAAATATGTTTTGCAATATAAAGTAATTAAAATATCTTTGGCTTGATTTTCAATAATTGAATAAGAAAAAATGTTTCCCTTATCTTGATTCGTTTGAGAGATATAAAACCTACGAAGACGTAGCATGAAAATAATCTGATGATAAATATTTGGCTCTTTTAGCCAGTTCCATGAAGTTAGTAATTGAAAACATTACTTATTTTGAAACACTTTGATGAATAACATGGTTTTCAATATACCTACATATATTCAAAAATACATCATCGCCATGACATCAGAATTACGTCCAAGTATGTATATAACACCAAAGAGAGCTGTGATATTCATTTTCAGTTTCTCAATGAAAGGCAAAACATTTTATGAGTTATGACTATCATATATTTAAGGTAAGGTAAATTTAAAAAGTGCAAAATATTTTAATTGCATTATTTATAATGTCTTAAAAAATAACGATATATACTGTTCAAGAAACATTTACTTTATCTGAGGATCATAGCATTTTTTGATATATACCTGGCATAGCATAAATGATGATACAATTTTTCCGAAAACCAAGCCCTTTCTAAAAATTTTCATGTATAGGATTAACATCTCCAAGAAACAGAAACAAATCGACAATTTCTTTATCAAGGCAATTATGAAAAGTGAATTCCACTTACTATACTTCTTAGTGACTCTGTCTAACAGGTCATATTCAAGCTGCCATATCTTCGGAAGGAGGAGGAATTGGCAGCTAGCTCTCGTGTTAATTTTGACCAAGGGATACTCTGTATGATACACTTACGGTATATGAATGTAAAAGGATAGAGATAAAAATAATAATAAATCTGGCACATTTCTACATAGTTTTGTCTAGGTTAATAAATACATATTTTATCATTTTTCAAAAGCGATAAAAACATCAACAAGTAGATGCTTTCTATTTTTAATGTATTATTTAGACAATTTTACAAACGAGTATCATAAATTCATAAATTTTGCATATATTTTAATTTTCCAAGACATGTTTTTCTTCAAACTTGTTTCCTATAGCTATTTCTAAAATATTAGTGCAACAAAGTAGGTAATTTATTTTGTGCAAAAACTGCAAACGTATGGGTAGCTGTCGGTTTAGTCGCAGATTTCCCTGTAATCGAACGATTTCTTTTACAATTTTAGTTGTGTTTTGATGCATAATTGTGTGTAATTATGTCGAGCGTAGTTAGNATTTTGCATATATTTTAATTTTCCAAGACATGTTTTTCTTCAAACTTGTTTCCTATAGCTATTTCTAAAATATTAGTGCAACAAAGTAGGTAATTTATTTTGTGCAAAAACTGCAAACGTATGGGTAGCTGTCGGTTTAGTCGCAGATTTCCCTGTAATCGAACGATTTCTTTTACAATTTTAGTTGTGTTTTGATGCATAATTGTGTGTAATTATGTCGAGCGTAGTTAATGCTAAAAAACTGCAAACAATTTATACTGTAATGACTAAAAAAACTAATTTACCGATAAATCGCTACAAAAATTATAAATTATAAATACTATTCAGGTGGAAAACAAAACAAATATATATTTTTTGGAATAGAAAATAATTTTATGAAAGTAAAGGAGAATAATGAGTTTAAAGGTTTGATTTTTTATTTTTTTTATAAAATTAATAAAAAAAGCAAGGAGTAATAAATTATGTACTCAGGTCGGCATCACAGCTGTATTAGTAGTAAATTGTGTGTTACTTCAATATCAAGTGCATGTAGTCATAGGGAAAGTTAAATAACGATCAAAACTTTATTTTACTAAAAAAAATATAAACAGTAATGTAATTTCGTATATACATACTTGTATATGCATAAAATAAAGTAATAAGTATTAAGCAGTGCATAACACGTATAAAAAAAACTGGGGAAAACCAGAAGACTCAATTTATGTTTGATTTAATCTTCATATTGATTGCATGTAACCTACCATCTGACAGTAAATTATAAAACATTTCATTCCTCTTGGAATAAAATACAACCTCTGGTGGAAATTACCATGTCGGACTAGCTTGGAAGTAGATTATTTAATTATGCAAATATTGGATCAGTAGATGTCGAGCAGTCGTTATCATCAAATTAAGACACTTTATCACCGCTGCGACTAAGTTTCGCTGAAACAAAGATAGAAACATACCTGATGATGCGATCTATAACGGATCCATCCAGATTGTGGAACCGATGGCAACAATCCGTAAAACAAATTACGTGTTTCACAATAATACAATGACATAAATCTTATAAGTTATAATCATTGTTCACTTTATTTTATGTTAATGATATGCACGCCTTTGGTGCGCGGCCAATTATGACAGTGATCATGGTTCTTTTTTATTACTATTTACTTCTTGACAATCGAATATAATGTAGGTATACGTAAATCAAAATCATAAAATACACTAAGAAACTATTATCTGGGCAGCTCAAATACTTCAAAAAATCAAATAAATAAAAAAATAAGTATTTGTCTTCTGACATTAATTTCCGGTCAAAGTGATAACTGAGCAAACGACAGATTACTACGAATGACTACTACCGAAAAATGTTTAATGGGATCCTGTAACACTTTCTAGAGAAACACGTACCTATATTTTTTTATTGATATTCAATAATTATTTCTTCTGATGACATAATCTGATACATCGAGACATTTTACATATGTTAAATACTTAATTTCTTTTAATTTGAGCTATATCCACTCGATTGGCTACAAATTGAATAGTGATGTAGATACTTACAGAATGAATGATTACTTTATAAATATACAGTGCCTCCCTAAAATAATGCATAAATTCACCAAAAAGACAGTCAATCTTTATTTTGAATTTTGACCACTTTTTTACAATTACTTAATAGTAGGTATACAGGAGTACCAGTGTTAAAGCTATAATGTAAATTATCGTTTTTTTACTACTTTCGTAAAATTCCACACCTTCTTACAGAACTGTTTTAACTATTCACGTTTAAAAAAAAAACAAATAAATACTGGACTCTAGAAAATTAATGTGATATTGAAACATATTAATCACAATGCGACATGATAGCGACATATATGTAAATCAACTGCAACATCATAAATCCCATTCATTCATAGTAGGTTTTATAGTAAATATAGATAATATAAAACAATGCCAACAATGTGGTTTGGTTAAAAACTTATGGGAATGAAATACATATAATAGCGCCTCTTAAAATATCAATAACCTAACGTCTTTATTAAAATTGTTCTCGTACTCGAAAAATTTTAATAACTGCTACTAATCCACATCAAAACATTAAATAAATATCTAATGTCTAATATCTAGGTGCAGGCAAAGTTCGAGATAGTCTCAAGTTTCTCGAATAGTATTGTATAACAACGTTTACCTCTGAAAAATTCTACTCACCGACCGAATGTGTCATTTTTAAGGATTTTATAGTTTTTATTAGCCATGACGATTTAATGCACTGAATTAATTGCTTCCTATTATACGCTATGCGTAAAAATAGCTGGGTCCATAATTTACGCACGCTTCTAGTGCACTAAATAGTTATAGGAAGCTTTCTACATAGTTCGACTAAAATAGATTTTGTTCATTTTATTCTGCTATGCTAATGGCATCTTATGCAACTTCTACAGTTAAAAATATGAGATATATCTGTCGAGAAAATAAAGTTATACGTAAAAAAAATCTACATTTGCCTTTAAAAAAAATGATATGGTTTATCATAAATTTCTTTTATCGCACGACAATATGCAATAATAGAACCAATAAAGACTAAAAATTTTTGTCACAGATGAATCTTATTTTTTTTGTATAAATGACATCTTATCACATTTTGCTATATAATATATGCGTACCCATATTTACAAAATGTTGGTACCTTAAATACAAAAAGTAATTGCTGTTTCTATGAAACTGAAATTTTGTAAATTGCGGTCATTAATGGTTTCTAAAATTTTAGAAATGAAATCATATTTTTATTATTCATTTTTTAAGGTACTTCTTTAGATACCTAGTTATAAATACTAATTTTACAATATTAAATGGAAAATGCTGTCTTATGTTTTATACATATTATTAATAATAATGCAACAGAAGAAATCATTGCAGAATAATAGATCACAAATATACCCCTCAGATTATTATTATTATTATTATTATTATTATTATTATTATTATTATTATTATTATTATT